TTGTAAGTTTTATTCTACTTTCCGAAAAATGTATCAGCTCATCTATCCTTAGAGTACATTTTATAAAGCCAAACCTTCTCATTCTTTGAAAAAAAAAACCCAGCGTCTTCTTTCACTTTGGTTTTTTGCTAGTGGCAACTTTTTGTTTTCGTATAATGTCTCCTGCTTTTATTGTTGTGAAATTATTATCTGGAAAATTCTAAAATATTCTTAAAATCTACGTCTTGTCCATCTTATCTTGAAATGTCTAATTGTCTGTTTTGCAAGGTTGAAATAATAGCAAGAGTTTCTTATCTGTTTTTGACTGCATCCTTGAATCTAAGGCAGTGTACAATAGATCAGCTTGTTTGGCATCGTTTCTTTTTTCTAGATCATGTTTCATTTTTTGTCTTGGGTTTTTTTTTAATTGACAGAAAATGAGCGCAAACGAATCTATACTCGTGTAAGCAGTTTGTGACAACAAATGGGGTGATAAATCTTATCAGTAGTAACCATTCAGCTTAAATTGAATGTTTTGTGCAGACGAGTGTTTTTGAGTTTTTTGATAATTTACTAATTCTTTTTTCCGAAGATCTCTAATTTTTTCTCTGAGAAAGTTTAAAAGACACTCACTCAGACACTAAATCAAATCCTTGGTACAAATTTTTATGAACTGCTGCAAGCCATTAGGGACCTTTTTTGAATATTGGGAGAACAGAAACGCATCCTATACTCAACGTCCCGCTATGTTTCTTTTCCAGCTGGTAAAAAGAAGTTTGTTGCGAATATTGTAGTGAATCAACGGTCTTCGGGGATAAATAGAAAAGTAAACAAGACTGCTCGTATCAGGGCGAAGCCCTGAATGTTGCGACTGCCTTTTAAGGTTTTATGGAGCAGTAATAACATCAAAAAATTAAATGTAATAAAAATACAATGAAATTTTTTTTTCTAAAATTTGAAAATTTTTATGAAAATCATCCCCCAAACGCCATATAAAGTACAAAAGGATAAATTTCACTACTTGTAACAAATCAATTATGGCGAATAAGCTTCGTTGAATCATTTTGGAACAATTTATAGGACGGATTAATCTCCGCTTACGCGTTAATAACGCGAAATATATCGCGCGTTAATTGTCGCAAATTGGCCAAAATGGCAATCTTTAAACCCCCATAACTTTACGAAAAATGATCACAGGTGAAATATCTTTTCAAATTTGAGCTCAGGACATCAATAGCTTTCGAATGATATGAAAAAATTCCGTCAAAAATGGCGAGTTAAGAAGTCGAAATTTGTCTGAAGAAAAAAAACCCACCCCGAGCACAAATATTCCGTTACTTTCGTATCGAAAGTCGGAACAAAAAGTGTGTCAAATATTGGATGAGCATTTTAATGAAATAAACTTCGATTTGCTGGGACCTACTGAGACTATTACAGATTGCAAATGAATAGTGACTAATTTTTTAAAATTCTGGAAAAAAAAGAATATAATTAACTAACTTGATAGAAGAACTACTCTTGCAGATGTTATCCGCATAATCTAGATAATTTTCTTAGAACAATCATACAAACTAGAACAAAAGTATCCTGACAAACTGGTACAGAAAAACTAAGAGAGATCTATTACCTGAACAGACCACCAACTTTTATGAATTTTGTTCAAAAATTTCTTTGTCAAATACAAAATTTATTAAAACTTTCACCTTATCATAATGATCAATTTTTTTCATTTAGAAAAACCAGAAAAGATCAAAGTGTTCAAAAAAGTTTAAAGAAAGAGATAAGATGAGAGAATTATTAGATTTCAAACTGTTCAAAAACTTCAAGTTCATATTCCATGTCAAATCCTTTCTTTTGCTCAGAATAAGAAGTTTTTGCATGTCTTACTGAGTAACTGCTACACTTCAGGTTATTTTATTATTCTAAAAAGTGAACTCGGTTAAAATTTCTCAATTTCTTTATAATTTGACTTCTACTTCTCCATTTGGTTCTCGGAAGATGCTAAGTAGACTTACTAGATTGAGATGTTGATTTGATTTTTTTGGAGGTAAGATTAAGTAAATAATTCATAGTTTTTTTCTTTCTGATAAACACTCGACACTTTAACCACTTTTTTTGAAGCTTTCATCTTCCAAAACAACCAAACTCTTTTTTACAACTAATTGTTTTCGCTAAAAGGTAAAAAAAGATTAACAGTCGAATTAGGCCTAAGTTTTTTGACGCAAAATAATTAACATAAAGATAAAACAATAAACCACTCGGCAAAACAGTAATCCATTTTAAAATTAAGGCAAACTCATAATCCATTGAATCAAAAAATACAGGCAAAATAATAAGCAGTATTCCATATTAGTAAAGCAATAATCCAGTAAGCCAAAACAAAAAAACCTAATGAACTAGAAAACATGAACTGATAAGACTTGGTTCAACATAACCATATGGGTTCATATAGGTCCATTTCATATAGCTGACTTTAACACTACAGCAAAATTTTGTAAAGCTGCACTTATTCTAGTTATTTTGAATTTGAAAAAAAAATTCATACAAAACTTTCGTAGTCAACAACTCCACAAAAAGTTTTGGGTTCATTTCTATCGAAATTATGCCAGCGATCAACATTTTGCAGACATGAATAAAAGAAAACTAATTTTTAATTGATGGAAAAGCTTGCTCAGTTTTTTCAAAAAGGTTGCAGTTTTTAATCATTTTCTGAACATTCAATTTTTGGAGTGCTTTTATTTGTAAAGATACATTGTTTGCTAAAAGTTTCCTAATAAATTTTTTTAGGAGAAATATATCAAGCGTTTTTTTTTCCTATTTTACCTCTTGAAGTTGTCAGGATTGATTCGTTTTTCCTTGATTCCAATTTATGTGATATTGCATGAGAACTGCTTTTTATTGCTAAGCAATCGATATCTTATGGAATGGTTCTTGCTATCAATATGTGGAATCCAATCAAAATAAGAATGTGTTAATATAAATCTAAAATCTTTGAAAATATCTTTTTTATTCTATAACCTTCAGCAAAAACGTTTGCTTTTTTTCTGGTGAAGCAAAGTGAAAAAATCCTTAATTGAGATTTAAAACAAAAATTTTCACAAAAACAGTTTTTCAACTCGTGCTGTTTAGTTCAAAAATTAATTGAAAATTGATTTCAGAGGATAATAATATTTCGATTATCAGACGAAAAAATATATATATCAAATTCATTGTACTTTCAATTTTTCAACAAAATTAAGGTCTGGTAAAACTTGGGACCACTCTTTGAATCCAGTAAAGGTATAGTTCCCCTGGCTACTTACTTTATAGCTTCAATTCTTGGTCTTGCACACTATGAAGCTGGCACAGAAATTGCTATGTCAAACACGTTATTTTATTTACCCTGTCCTGATTCAAAAGAAGTGAGTTCCCGTTAAAAACAAACGATGCCCTTGTTTTGAGCATTGCGAATAACATCATTTACAATTTCCAGGATTGGTTGATTTTTCCCCTAGAATAGACTGGTTGATGTCTGAATTTGTACAATTTTTTTTCTTGAATAGCTGTAAGCATCATATACATTAAATTTCTCTGGTAGTGTTTTTTGATAAAAAAAACCCAATTCTAGCTCGAGATTGTAAAATTCAGTGAAGACGGGGAAAATGTTCGTTAAATACACAATTTAAATTACCAAACTGATTTGCTGAAGTTTTTTCATTGATATGTACCGATTTGTAAATCAAGATCAAGTCATATTTTCTGGAAAAAAAAATGTTTTTATGATCTTCCTGTTTCCTCTAAAAATTTTACAGAAACGCTTTAAGTCTTTATAAAGAAAAACAAACAATTTTTCGATTGTGTAGTCAGTTCAGTTCTTTGAGAAAGTACTGAAATTCATTCCTTTTTTTATTTTACAAAATTCAGTTCATTCTAATAAAAAAGATGCATAACAGGAAAAAGATTCAATTGTTGTTATGAAACCCAAAAAAAATGTTTGTTTTTGTCTAACGAGACGCAAAATTTGTTTTAATTTCTTAACAAATCAAAAATCAATCCAACTGTTTAACAATTGGTGAAAGTTATTCAAACTTTAACAATTTACGAAAACAGTTCAATTTTAAAAACTGTTTTAAGTTTCTAAACAAGATGCCGAAAATGTTCATTGAAAAAAAAATTGCAAAAAATTGTCAATTTTTGAACAAATTGCAAAAATTGGCATAATTGTTTTAACAAAGTTAAGTTTTTTACCGATTATTTTTTATTTTGGTACTGATTTTCAACTAATTTCTCACTATAAATAAAGTTTGAAAAACATTAAAATAGCACCACAAAATTTTGCTTTACAAAAGAATAAATCGAAGAGCCAGGCATGGATCTAGAATTTTCTCGAGGGAGGGGCGGAGTTTCGAAAAAAAATTCTAAAACTTCGTCGATTTTTTTCTAAAGGTCGACCAAATTTTTTCGAGCTCTCCCAAAGCACTATAAAGACCAAATATTTTGACAAATTTTTCTGGGTTACAGGCTAAACTTTGAAAAAACAAGCCAAAAAAGGCGTTTTAGACATTTTTTTGAAAATCTGAATAAAAAGTTGCGTTTCTTCAGCGCGCGCTCCACCCTCAAAACTTGCATATATTGGTGCCAAAAGCGCCTTTAGAAAACTTTTAGTGTCCATCGCCAAAAATGGATATCTCAAAACAGTACGAAGAGGGACCTCATCCGCCCCTGCGAAGAGCTGTCCAGCCGTCTTCAAGCTGTGGGATAGTCCAGCCCAATACGTCCAGCGAAGTATCCCATCATCTGTATTGATCCAAGAAGTTGCTTCAGTTTCAAAATTTTTGCTTTGAACACCTTTCTACTCACTCACTCATTCTTGCATTTTTTCAATTGACCCGGTCGCCATTTACTAAAATAATTTTAAAAAAATTTTGTTGAAATAATTGGAGTGTTTGGTCATTTTTTTGAAAAATGTTATTTTTCTTGTTTTATGTTCTCAAAGCGCTGTGATGGAAACAGCTGGCTGTTTTTCTTTTTTGCTTGTTTAGGTACAACTATACTTTCCTTCGCGTGACCGTGAAGCTGGCGAGGAGACCCCTGTACTACCTTGTCATCATTGTGTTCCCAATCGTCACACTCTATCTCTTCTCAGGTAAATCACTTTGACCCCCCTCCCTCTTTTCCCACCGCTACGCTCACCCTGTCCCCTTGTCGAAAATCTGGAGAAACGACCTGGAGGGGACAAGAGGAAAAAGAACCGCCTCTCAAAACTTGCCAAAAAATTTTAAATTCAACCTCTTCTATATTTCATTTTCAAGTGATGGAACCTTGGTCGTCTAAATTGTCATTTAAGAGGCAAGGGATTCATAAGTTGGATAAATCACCAATTTTTCCTAATTTTTTGTAGAATTATGATTATCTTCAAAAATTCTCCAAACATTTTAAAAGTTTCAAAACGCAAGTCTGTTCATTCGTCATAGTTCTATTTATGAAGACGAAGAGAAAACAGCCTTGTTTGTTTTTCGTTAACGTGCAACAAGTTTGATAGTTATCTCTTTAAATGGAGCTTCTATGCACCTCAAAATGTTCCAGAATCTGTCGGTGTACTTACAGGCGTTGCTCAAAAAAAGTATGAAATACCAATCTGACAAACTGTTTTTGAAAGTAATTATGTTTTTGCAGAGATTTTCATGTCAGTCCTCTTTTGGTCTTTTTTTTACTTTTTTCAAGAAGGAAGTTTTTTTCAAATTTTCGGTCTATTTTATTTTTGGTTTTGATTTTTTATTCTTTCTTCAATTTCGACTTCATTTGTTTTTTGGTTCTTCTTTGTTTTCATGTTATGATAATTGTTCATCGTCGTCTTATCATTTCAGGCCTGACCTTCTTCGTGCCTGCTGGATCTGGAGAGAAGACTGGTTTTGCAGTGACCCTCCTTCTGGGTGAAGTGGTGGCATTTGGCACCCTCAGTGAGATATTCCCAGACAGCTCCACTGGGTTCCCCCTCATGGTCTACTTTGTCAGTAGTGTCACACTTCACATGAGTTTCCTCTGTCTGGCCGCCATTATGGGTGATTGTTAAAAGTTTTCCAAGTTTCATTTTCATCAAATACGAGGCAGTTACAAAATTTCTATCAAAATATCAAAATGAAAAACCTGGGGATCAGTCGGGCAAAAACTTTACCTGAAAACGAGTAACTTCGGGCTGCTTAGAGAAATAACTTTAAAATTACGGGATCATCTACTCAAAACTTTATTAAATTCAGGTGTTTATGTAGCTCATCAAGGTTTAAGCAATGTATAATTTTACAGTTTTGCATACAGAAAATAAATTTTTTGTTTGATAGCCAAAAATGTCCTTATTTTAAACACAATACAAAACTGTTAAGTGTTTCGCAAACTTTGAAGATTACACTTAGTTTATTTTGCGTTGAACTACATAGAAGCCTCTTTTTGATATGATTTCTTTAGAAGTTAACCCGGTAATTTTGCATGATTGTTGATTGAATAACTGCAGCCAAAAATTAATCGTTTTTAGGTACGAATTTTGACGCGAATTTTTCAATATAAATTTTACTATATTAGTTCTGGTAAATTTTTATGCAAGCTTTGTATAGATCACTTCATGATTACTCTCATTCCAATTTGAGAAAATTAGTTTCATTTTTCCTATTTTAAAAATTAAGCTGTATTACTCAGACAAAAATTCCCGTAACTATTTTGATTATCAATTTTTTGCAATGCCTGAAGTCTTGGGATTATCAAATTTTGTCAATATGGGATAATTAAAGCGCATTCAAAATCACCTTATCAAAGCGCAATCAAGGAATACAATTTTTTTCAAATTGAATTGAGGCAAGCTTTTGACCTTATTAATACGTTACCAGAAGCAAAGTTTGTCAATTTGTAATTGACGTAGAGTGCGGAAGATTTTTTTTTCAAATGTACCACAAACTATTCATCAGATTTAAAAGGCAAATGGAAAATTCAAGTCTTCGTTCTGATACGAGAAGCCATGCTAAGTTTTTAGTTTAAAATAGTTCTTTTTTTAGACATTTTTCAGGTCGTGTGATTGTTCTGTGGGAAATTTATTCACTCTAAACTACATCTGGCTGAAAATGACCAATCTAAATTTTTTAATTGCTTTTCAATAACAAATGTGTATATGACGTGAAAAATAAAACTGGCTTAAGTCTTCTGTTTCAAAGTGGGTTTTAGTTTTCAGATTACAAAGTGGACTATAAAGAAGATGCATTGATCAAACTTTCTCAATGTGTGTTTTATCGAAAAAGTGTCGATAGTAAAAAAAAATGAAATTTGAAAATCTTTTGTGCAAAATGTTTTTTCAATTTTAAAAATAGAACGTTAAAAAAACACTAAAAAAATAAGCAGTCGTCTTTTAGTTCGTTTTTCGCACTCTCTTTTTAAAGTCTCTCTTGGCTATGTTTTATTAAATTTTAGTCGTGGCTATTCACAACTGGACTGATAAAAGCATGAGCCCATTTCTCCTCAAGATAATTCAGTCACCCTACCTGAAGTACCTCTTCCTCAACCGATACGAATCCTCCAACGGAGCCCCGGCCGAAGGAAACAACTCCTCCCCCGGAAGCGGAATGGGCCAAAAGTTGTCCAAGGTGAAATTGACAACAATAAATTTGATTTGAAAGTTACTTGAAATCAAAAACAACAAAATTATTATTAAAAGGCGCAGAATAGCGATTAAAATAGTGGTTTTTTAAAAAAGTCAAAGAAGTATCTGAAGTTTCACCTTGCTAAGAGTTCAATCATTTTTTTTTGGAAAATTTACAATTTTTACTTAAGAGAAGGTATATGCGACTTTCGAGTTCTAATTTCAGTCAGCTGTTCTTTTAAATTCTATTTTGAAATCTGCTTTGGATTTTTTTTTGAAATCTAATTTGAATGCTGATTTGCGTCCTTTTGAGTTCTGATACTAGATACAGTCGGAACATTCGCAGCGATCAGCTCTTCTTATTCGCAACGAGTCGGAACATTCGCAACGAGTATCGCTTGTTATTAATTCAAATAAACTTACGAAATCATTGTTTGTCAAAGGAGTCTGAATCCAACATGGACAACAATGCAAATGTCGATGTCGAGGTGGACCCAGTTGGTGGAAAGGGGGGACTTTTCCCCAAGTCGGAGGGCAACAGTGGTGAAGACGGGGGAGAAGACACTGGAGTGAAGTGGCAGATTTTGGCAGCCGTGGTTGACCGGATTTTCCTGATCGTTCACGTGATCGTGCTTTTGATCAACATCATGTACTTTAGAACCATCATCTTGTAATGATTGCGCTGCGCTGTTATGATTGTTCATGAATTGCCTTTGAAAAATAACTCTGAAAAAAAACTGGCGCTGCTCTGGACTTGTAGAGAAAAATCTGACTCGGTTTGTAGAAAAAAATGTGACCTGATTTGCAGAAAAAAATCTGACGGAATTTTTTTTTTTTAAAGAAGTGTTTTTAATTGCAAAAAGACATCAAGAAAGATGCTTAAGTATTGATATCAGTGTGTATTATATGAATTCAAGATTACTCATCAATATTATTCAAAATTGCTTGGGAAAATTTTGTCGCACTAGCTTTTACCAATCTTTTGTTTCTGTTTTATCCGTTAAGGACATGAATTTTATTTTGTAAAACTGAAAATTATTAATTTCAAAAATTGAATTAAAAATTGTAATAACCGAAACGAGTAGAAAAATTTTTATAAGGGCAATTTTTATCTATTGCGGATACTTTAGGGATTTTTCAAGCACTCCAGGTCTTCCGGGTAATGCTTTATTTCAGCGCCTGCTTTCTATGCTTTCAAAAATTTATAATTTTCTAATTTTGCTTTAAAATTTCGTGCAAATATAGTTTCGTATTTGTTTTCTTTTTCTCTGATAACTACTTCCCGGTAAGATGGTAAGATACGACTATGAGTCTTTTCGGCCGAAAACACCACCCCTCTCTCTCTCTCTCTCTCTCTCTCCCTCCCACAGGCACAGTATAAATATTTAAGCAAACCAAATTTATCCCAAATATTTTTTTAGATTTAGCGTTTTTTAAATTTGGCGTTTAGGGTGACGGATAGATGGAGGGAGGAGATGTTTTGTATCTACTTAGACCCATGGCACCGAAATCTTGACCCAGTATACGCAGATTTTTCAACTGAAATGCCAAACAGTGTTGGTAATTTATGTTTTAGATCGGGAGACATTAGGTCGTGCTCCGAGCGACTTTAACAATTCACCATGAGTATTCCAAAAAAACTATTTTTAATAAATATAAACTGCAGAAAATTAAGAGACGGCAAATTTTAAATCGTGAGACATTAGATCCTTTTCTGAGCGGTTTTAACCATTAACCATTAGAACTAAAAAAATATAATTTTCATAAAGATCAACTGCAGAAATTAAAATGATGACAATTGTCATATCGTGAAATATTAGGTCCTCCTCTGAGGTATTTTAACCAATAACTATGAGTAATCCGAAATATAGTTTTTTATGAAGATAAACATCAGAAATTAAAAAGATGACAAATTTTAAATCGTGAAAACATAAGATTCTCTTTTAAGCCATTTTAACCAATAAAAATGAGTAACCCAAAAAACAGTCTATTTCAACAAATAACCTGCAGAAATTGAAAAAATGACAGAAATCTGAAAAGATGACAGAAAAATGCAGAAATTGAACCGTTAACCATGAGTATTCCAAATGCAGTTTTTCTATAATGACAAAATGCATAAAACTTTCAGACATGGCGATCTTTAAATTGCGAAAGTATTAGGTCCTCCTCTGAGGGGTTTTAACAAAAACTATGAATCTTCCGAAATATAGTTTTTATAAAGATAAACTTCAGAAATTGAAGAAACGACAATTTTAAAATCGTGAAAACATTAGATTCTCTTTTTAGCGATTTTGACTGATAAAAATAAGTAATCCAAAACATAGTATTTTATATAGATAAACTGCACAAAATTGAAAAGATGACATTTTTTGAATCAATTTTTCTCCGAGCACTTTAAACCATTAACCATGATAATTTTCAGGCATGAAAGTTTTCAAATTTTTGAAATATTATGTCCTCATTTTAGCAGTTTTAACCATTGACCATGAGTATTCCAAGAAAAAAAGTTTTTATGAAGATAAACTGCAGAAATTAAAATAATGACAATCATCAAATCGTGAAAAAAAATAGGTCCTCCTCTGAGCAATTTTAACCATTAACCATGAGAATTCCAAAATATAGTTTTCTTATAATAATAAACTGCAGAAGTTACAGAGAGGACTATTTTTAAATCTTAAAAACATTAGGTTGTCCAGTGAGCAGTTTTTACTAGTAACCATGATAATTGAAAAATGAGTTTTTTTATAAAGATAAACTGTAGAAAATAAAGAGACCGAAATTCTTAAAGCGTGAAATCATGAGAACCTCCTCTGAGCGATTTTAACTATTAACCATGAGTATTCAAACAAATAGTTTTTTTCATAAGATAAACTGCAGAAATTAAAAAGGTGACGATTTGTTAATCGTGAAAACATTAGGTCTCCTCTGAGCGATTTTGACCATTAACCATGAGTATTCCAAAAAATAGCTTTTTTATAAAGTCAAACTGCAGAAATTAAAGAGATGACAGTTTTAAATAGTGAAAACATTAGATCCTTCTCTGAGCGATTTTGACCATTAACCATGAGTATTCCAACATAAAGTTTTTTAAAAGGATAAACTGCAGAAGTTAAAGTGATTGCAATTTTCAAATCGAGAAAATATTAGGTCCTTCTCTGAGCAATTTTAGATTTTAACTATGATTTTTCCAAATATAGTTTTTTTTTTAAAGATAAACTGCAAAATTTAAAGACATGACAATATTTAAATGGTGAATTTATTAGGTCCTCTTCTGAACAAATTTAACCATTAACTATGAGCAGTTGAAAACTAGGAAAAACTGCAGAAATTGAAGAGATGACTGTTGAATAGCTCGGAAATGTTCAAACATGCTGATGATAGTCCACAATTGATTATAGTGAGCTAATGTTGACCTTCCAAGTCTTTGAAAATGGCTCAAACTATGACTAACCTAATCGGCCGTTTTATAAGATCGAAAATTATCGTGCGGTAAGTATCCCAAAATAAATTTAACATCCCATTACTTCACAAAAATTCTTCTTAGTTTATTTTTTTTTCATTTTTGAGCTTTGGTTTGCAGTATTTTTCAGATGGTATCAAAAAATTCTGTTAAAAATAGTTAATTAAAAAGTCGAAGTTTGCCTGGAGAAAGAAAAATTACCACGAGCACAACTAAAATTATCACTGTCTACAATACTAAGTGAGAAAACGAAGTATAAGCCTCAGCGGAAAAATGTGCGTTGAATTTTTTGCCGGTAAAACTTACTTTCAACTATCAATAAATTAAAAACTTTCGAGCAATATGAAAAACTCCGGGTAAACTATCCAATTTTTTTTTACTGTGACAAGAATCAAATACCCTATTTTTTGTAGAAACTGTTAAAAATTTTATTCAAAACTTGTTGAGGTAAAGTAAAGGTGATTCAAAAGGGACAAAACTAGGGGAGCAAGATATCAGGAACGTGTTTGTTTTTCTGAAAAACTACAGTTTTAACTGACTTTGTTTAATTACTAAAAGCCACGTGTATTTTGATAAAAATAATAAAAAACAAACCCAAAAGTACCAAATGGTTTTAAATTTTATCTGGCAACTAATCCACAGATCTTGCGTTAAAAAGAAAAGAAATTATGCTCATGCAGCTCCATGATTTTTTTGATGTTGAATGACATTCAGATTGCTGCAAGTTTAATTGGTAACTTTTATTGTTCCGCTCCCATAACACAAAACTAAGCACCAGAAGATAACAAGACTGCTCGTATCAGGGCGAAGCCCTGAATGTTCCGACTGCCTTTCAGGTTTATGGAGCAGTAATAACATTAAAAAATTCAATGAAATAAACAAAAATGAAAAAAAAATTTAAATTTGAAATTTTTTATAAAAATCATCTCCCCACACGCCATATAAAGTACAAAGGGATAGATTTCGCTCCTTGTAACAAACCAATTATGGCAAATAGGCTTCTTTTAACCAATTTGGAACGATTTCTAAGATGGATTAACTCTCCGCTTACGCGTTAAAAACGCGAAATATATCGCGCGTTAATTGTCCCAAATTGACCAAAATGGCAATCTTTAAACCCCCGTAACTTTACGAAAAATGATCACAGGTGAAATATCTTTTCAAATTTGAGCTCAAGACAACAATACCTTTCGAATGATATAAAAAAAATTCCGTCAAAAATGGCTAGTTAAAAAGTCGAAATTTGTCTGAAGAAAAAAAACCCACCCCGAGCACAAATATTCCGTTACTTTCGTATCGAAAGTCGGAACAACAACTGCAGATGTAATTTCTGTAGATTTATTGCAATAACTGGCTCGTCTAAATCTAATTACCAAAATAATAAAGAGACAAAAACTTTTGATAAGCTTTGAGTCTGGTATGGAATTAATCGAACCAATTAGCTGCATCTATTCAATTTGAAACGATTTTGTAGAGCGGGATAATTCGGCACGTGTAAAGTTTAAAACGAGCAGTTTAGTCAGACACGTGGCAGGATACTATATTTGCATAAGGCAGAGGAGACTAAAAAACACTTGGAGATCAAGAGATTGATCCCCTGAGAGACTTGAGTTTCGTAAAGTTGGTCTGAAAAAAAACCAACCCGAGCATATATAATGCTCAAATATTTCTTCAAAAATCGGAACAACATGCTACAAATCTGAAGGGCTATAATCGGAGCCACACAACGCCAATGTAGCAGAGTTGTTGGCTTGTTTGGGCTCATTCTTAAACCATTTTCTTCGCAAATCATTATATTAGCCCAAAATAATGGAACAGGAAAACGCGATAATTTAACGGGTCTGGGGCTTAACAAAACAAATCAGTTCATTTGATTATGAACTGAAATTGATTTTTTAATGATTTGATTCACAGAACTGGTTAAAAACCCACAAATCTTTTTCGGAAATGAGTTTGCTCAGTCGAATAGTTTTATCAGTTTCAAGCTAGTTTGCTAGTTTGCTAATTTGCAAACTAGTTTTTGCCCAACCTTCTATCGGCTTAGTTCCACTTACTCCAGCACGTAATGGTTATAGTTTCAAGTTATCTGGAATAAACCCGCAACAAAATATACAGACTGTACTTAATTGTTATCCATTTCCGGTTTCAAGACATTACACTAGAGTAAACCTCAACTTAAAATTGAAGCCTGAAAAATCCGTGAAAACAAAAAACACGCAAGGTTTTGCATCATGTGAGTCGAATCATGGTCTGAACAGTGTCAAATCATGACGAGTTAAAAAGGGTCATATGATGGTCAAACATCGAAACATGAATGGAATTACAGGTAAGTTGAATTTTTGACATTTTCAGATCCAA